CCAGAAGAAGTCAATGGAGTGATGACTCTAAAGAGCTGAAGGAGCATGAAGGAGCATCAAGGTAGAATTCTAAACTAATGAAAATGTATGTTAAAACTGGAAGGAAATGGAATTGCAAAATATCAAATTTTGTGAGATGCAGCTAGAGCAGTACTTAGAGGGAAATGTATAGCATTAAATGCTTATGTTAGAAAGGAACAAAGATCTTTAAAACAATAACATACGCCTCCACTTAAAAAATTGGAAAATGGTGAAAACCAATTTTGGAGGCATAGGTAAATGCATGTTCTCGCTGCCTCCCACAACCACATGGAATGTACAACTGAAATAGAGAACAACCATCATTCCGGACTAGGAGGGTAAAGAAGAAAACACATCAAGACTGGTAGGAAGGGTAGAGGTGGGGAACACACTAGTCCGACACCAACATGTGGCGTGTTTTTATTTGGGAGAGATATCTCAGCTGTGGAGGCCTCCTGTGAGAAGCAAAAGGTCCCAGCCCCACACAAGACCTTGAACCCAGGGTTCCAGAGATTGAAAGAGAAGTCCTCATAACTTCAGGTTCCAAAAACCAGAAATGATTATCTTTGAGTGACATGGAGGCAGCTGTAGACCCAGGCTGTACCTCTTAAAGGGTCAGCACAGGAACTTACAGGGTCTTGCTTCCTCTGAGCTCCAGCCATAGGTGGTGGAATTGGGGGATCCTGGGACATACAGGAAATAACTGGTTTGTCTGGCATTATGGCAGAGACTTGGGGTGGCTTTCTCCCAGACAGGGCTGCTCACAGGAGTCATTGTTTCTGTGCTGGAACCTCCCCCATTGCATAGCTGCCTGGATGCCATATCTGAGGTTCCATCAGTATGGCTCACACAGTTTGCTCTGCCCTGGTGATTCCCTGAGAACCCGCCCCATCCAAATTGCAGCCCCATCCAAACTGTTACCAGCAGCCTTTCCATTTGAATGGCTTATCCTGGCTCAGGTTTCAGACTCTCCTAAAATCTCTCAAACAAGCAACGGCTAGCATCAGCATGTCCCAAAACTATCAATAAGTGGCCCAAGACCCAGCAATAGTGCCACTCTGCCATGCTTCACAACTTGTACTTGCCTGGGCACTTCCAAGCACAATACAAGTAGAAGTCATCTGCAGATCCCCCTGTAGCTCCTGCTTGGTGCCTCCATGTAGTGGCTGACTTTTCACCTTCTGGGAGGCCATAGCAGATTACAACTCTACATACCCAGGAGGAGGAAGAGGAGGACACAGAGGAGGAGGGGAGGCAAAGGAAGAAAAGGAGAAGGAGAAGAAGAAGAAGAAGAAGAAGAAACATGAACAAATCCCTAGCCAGTTTGCTCAGTAGATAGACCATAGAGCTGCTGACTAAAGGGTTTCAGGTTTGTTTCTTGCCAGGGAAACATACCCGAGTTGCTGGCTCAATCCCTGTTGGGGGACATGCAGAATGTGGCTGATCAGTGATTCTCTGTTATCTCTCTCTCCCCCCCCCTTCCTTTGTGAAATCAATAAAAAATAAAAAATATGAATAAAATAATAGCAATACATACATATCTATCAACAATTGAATCTAAAAACCAAAATAAATGAACAAAGTATCTAAGGAACAAAATAAACTGATGAATAAAATAGAACCTGAGGCATGGAAACATGGAACAGACTGACGAACCTCAGAGGGAAGAGGGAGAGGAGGGTAGAAAGAGATGAACCAAAGAACTCATATGCATATGCATTACCTATGGACACAGACAGGGGGTTGATGAAGCCCTGGGGTGGGCTGGAATGGGTGGAGGGGTGATATGGGGGGCAAAAGGGTGAACATTAGTAATAACCTCAATAGCAAAGATTTTTTTTTAAAGAAATGAGAAAAGGAAGATCAAAATCACCTAAAATCAAGCAGAAGGAAGGAAAAATAAAGATGAGAAAAGATTAATGAAATAAAAACAGAAAAATAATAGAGAAAAATGAATGGTGCCAACAGCTGAATATTTGGAAAGATCAATAAAACTAATCAAATGCTCACAAGACTGGCAAAGAGACAAATGACCAATATCAGAAATTAATTAGGAGATATAAACACGTTCCCCAATGCATTCTTATGAGACTGGCATTCTTCGTGTACTCAGTACAAATAGTAAACTACTGACCAAAATCTCTTATTAACATATTTACTAAAATCCTCAACAGAATATTAGCCAATCCTACCAGCAATATAAGAAAACCATACTACGTCATGACAAAGCTGGAATTATCCCAACAATTCAAAGCTGATTCAATATTTTTCAATCAACCAATGTAATCCATCAGGTCAACTGTGTAAAGAAGAAAATTCACATGGTCATAAAAATTGATACAGAAAAGTGTGTGACAAAGCACAGCATTCATTCATGATAAACACGCTTAGGGAACTTGGGATAAAAGGGCACTTCCTCAATCTGATCATGTGACTCCTGTAGCTATTACCATACTCAATTGTGGGAAGTTAAATGATTCCCCCTCAGATGGGGACAAAGTAAAAAAGGTCCACTCTTATCACTTCTATTCAACATTGTACTTGACGTTTTAACAAGTGAAATAAGACAAGAAAGATGCATAAAGACATTCAAATGTGAATGGAGATAACAGGTGTTCCTATTTGTGTGTGACATAGTTATCTATGAAGAAAAATCAAAGTAATCAACTTCAAAATCACCGGTGAATACACAAAAGTGGATCTATTTGGAGACTTATCATAACTGCAGTGGTATTGCCAGTGTGGGGTTGTCAAATCAGCAGATAAGGGGACAGAACTGAGTTCTTGTGGGAAACCATCCACAAAAACACAGCTTTTCACAGAGGTGCAGCCTTGAGGAGGAACTTGGCAGCACCATTGTCACCCAGAGTTCACCCTAAATCCCCTGGTGACTGGAGGGGCCTCACGTGTTTGCTCATTGACCTGATCCCAGGGAACATGAAACCTCCTGCCTCTTTAGGACAGGAAGTAGGTTTGCACCTGGGAGCCTGGAACCCCCCTGAAGTCTGGCTGCCCCCTTCCTCCCACAGAAGTAGTGAGAGGGTGCCCCTAGTGGTCACACTTCAGAGATGGTTTCAAGGTCCCCAGAAAAGACACTGGGGTGTAAAGGTGGGGAGGCCTCAGTGAGCTTTTAAACTGACATAGAAACTTACATGCATGTTGAAGATGCTCTATCCTGGCACCTGGGAAAATGGACTTTTCCCTAATGTAGGTTTGTGTTTCCCTCAGCCCTCATGGTGCCTGACCACCTGGCTTCAGGTGGGTCCCCCACAGCGAGGCCCAGCATCAGCCTGCAGGAGAGGGGGTCTGGGTGGTTCTTCCTCATTAAGTCTCTGGAGAGAGGTTCCAGCCCAGCTCCCCATGCACCTCTGTACCCTGGCACCTGGGGCTGCCCTTCTGGGGGCCTCTCCATCCTAGTTCCCCTCGTACCAGCAACACAGACAACCACCAGGTCTGTTGGTCCACCTGGCAGGAACCTGGCTGCCTGCATGCTGTGCTGGGGCCTCCACAGTGTTAACTAGACATGGTGGGAGGGGCCCTAGTCCATGAGGCTCAGTGGATAGAGCATCAGACTTCAGACTGAGGGGTCCCTGGTTCAATTTCTGTCAAGGGCACAGGCCTCAGTTGCAACCTGGATCCGTGCCTGCAGGAGGCAACTAGTCAATGTGCCCCAAACACTCTCTGCCTTGCCTGCATCCTTCCACTTTGTCTAAAAATAAGTGGGAAAATATCTTTGAGTGAGGATGAAGAAAACTAAATACATAAATAAAGAAATATATTTTTTTAAAAAAAAGTAAGAAATGGTAAGAGGAAACGCAGTCTTAGTACCAAGCCCAGGAAGGACCATGTGCATGTTCCCCTAGGAATGATGATGGAGCTCAGACACAGCTCAGTTTTTGAATAAAGAATGACAGCGGCCTCACACGGTGGGTGTGGACATGGTGTGAAGCCTTTTGCTGAAAAAGCATGTTGGTTTCTCTGGGTCACACCCGCGTCAGGACTCCTGACCACATGTTATCACTTTCCATGGGCAGAGCCTGGGCGTCAGGCTTTAGGTTGATCCTTAGGTGCTTTCTCTCTATGTTTATGCTTCGCATGGGTTGGTGGTTGTTGTTTTTCTCTCCAGATGCATTTTCCCGCTGGTTGGTGCTTGTACACCAATTCATGTCCGGGTCTGTCTTTCCTGATTCTTTAGGATTTTCCATGTGAATAATCACGTCATCTCTGAATAGAAAAGGTGCCTCATCTCTGCGATCCCCTGCACCTCGAGGAAAAGCCAGGAGGCACTGGGGCAGTCCCTGCACATCACATACCACCCCACAACCCACCAGGATCCCTATCCAGTTCCCAAGCTGCCCCTGGGGCCTGGAAATCCCTAGGGCAGGTCTTCAGGACACACTTCCTGTGTCCAGCGTGAGGCACCTCATCAGGAGGCAAAACGCCAGCCCAGGCCTATGTCCTTCCCCTGTGGGTCCCCTGGTCTGAGGACACTCACTTGTACCCTCTGCTCCCAGGATCCTCAGCTGCCCAGCTCTGGGGGCCACATGGTGTGTGTCTGACCCACAAGCACCTGGCATGCGACCCCAGAACACGGGGATGGGGCCTCATTCTCTTCACTGATTTGTACTTGTTACCTAAAGGGACTAAGGTGTGTCACTGGCCCTCAGTTCTGGTGGAATAAATGAATGAATGAAGTCCAATCAATTAATGTGAATGAACAGGCCCTGGAATTGGGGTTAGGTCCACAACGCCCACCCCCAGGGGCTCCCCACTGAGCACCCTTGTCTGTGGCCCCTGCCTTGGGTCCCACTTGCCCAAGGACCTGGCTCTGGAGAAATTTGGCTGAAGAACTGTAGTCCATGCCTCAGTGGGCTGTGTGCACCCGGGGCCTTATATCAGTGAGCGACGCACAGGCAAATGCCAGGCGTGGCTTCCTGTATAAATACAGCCCCAATGGGGCCGCAGAGCCTGCTGAGTCTGGCTGACCCAGGGACATGGCTGTCTCCTTCCTCATCTGCCTACCCGGGCTGGGGCTCCCCTGGGGTCAGTGTCTGGGGTCCTGGGGATTCACAGGCGTGTTCACAGAGATGTGGACTGATTAACCTTGTTGCTTCCTTCTGTCCCAGGTGTCCTGTCCCAGGTGCAGCTGCAGGAGTCAGGCTCCTCGGTGGTGCAGGACTCGCAGACCCTGTCCCTCACCTGTGCCATCTCTGGGGACCGTGTCTCCAGTAACAGTGCTGCTTGGCACTGGGTCAGGCAGCCCCCAGGGAAAGGGCTCCAGTGGCTGGGAAGGATCTACTTCAGTTCCAAGTGGTGCAGAGAGTACGCGCCATCTCTCCAAAGTCGGTTAGTCATCGACCCAGACACGTCCAAGAACAAATTCTCCCTGGAGCTGAGGTCCGTGACCACTGAGGACACGGCCATGTATTACTGTGTAAGACACACAGTGAGGGGAAGTCAGTGTGAGCCCAGACACAAACCTCCCTGAGGGAGACAGCAGGGCTGGGCTGCAGGGAGCTTCGAGAACACCAGGGGGCACTGAGGACCAGCACAGGCCCAGGACCAGGAGCAGGTGCAGAGTTAAGCAAAGATAACATTTCCTGCTATGTCTTAAAATAGTTTTGCTCCGAGCAACAGAGCTCACAGAAGGCCTTTTCTATGTCTAGGTTTAGGGATTGTATTTATGATCATAAAAGGGGCTCTGTCTTTATTCTGACATAATCCAGGGACTGAAAGGAACCTCCCAGGAGGCTCTGATCACACATTCCTACCTGGGCAGTCCTGGGGGTGGGCCCGCCCCAGGCCTATAACTTCTTTACTAAAAGGCTCATCTTTCCCTTGAGCAACCCCGTCCATTGTTCCTGTGCATCTGGGTTAACACACCTGTGATATCAGCATGACCACCCTCAGGAGAGAACCTCCTGGAAACTGTCCTGTCATCCAGTCCCTGCCTTGCTCTCTCCCACCTCCATGTCACCTTCCTCACCTTCCCGCCTTAACTTCAAATGCACAAACGCAGCTACACCTAGTTATTCTCCAGAGCATTTGAGGTCTGGCTTCCCAACTGTTGCCAGTCTGGCTCCAATAAAAGCTTGTAAAACATTCTCTTCATGTTTGGACATTTCTTACATCAACATATCATCTTTTCTTTATTTACAACATACGTTCATACCTGCTTCTTTCCCATGTAGAGGGGGAAGTGCACACAATTATTTAAAACCTGCGACCTCGCCAGGATGAGGGCTAAAGAGTTCCCGTGTGTGGGAGGGAAAACAAGTTTGCTGTTGGTTGTCATGGACCTCAGGTTCCCTTCCTTAGGAATGAGGCCTCTCCAGCTGTGCCCATCTCCCCTGTGACACGTTTCCAGGTTCCCCTGGGTGAGTGAATTGGCATAAAACCCACAACATACGTGAACCACGTTGACGTAGTTGACATTCACACGTCCAAACCTGTGGAGAGTTTTTCAGAGTTGATCTGAGCCAAACCTAGGAGAGTTGCAAGGAAGCAGGATCTCAGATGCCCCTGACAATGCCAGTGTCACAGTTGCTCTCACAGCTTCTCTGACACGTTTGGGATTGAGGAGGAGGAAGGAAGGCGTTTGGGATTGAGAAGGGAGGAAGGAAGGCTGCTTGGAGGTGGGAGAGAGCCCACTGGGGGTTGGATTGCAGGCACTTAACAAGGGTGCTCTCCTGAGGGTGGTTAGGGCTTGTTTTAAAGGAGTGTTGACCTCCATGCTCAAGAACTATGGGCAGGACTGGCTTTAGGCAAAGAGAAGCCTTTTACTAAAAAGCTAAGACCTGGGGGTAACTCCCCCCATAATGGCCCAGTTAGGGAATTCTGACCAGATCACCCTGAAAGGTGACTGTCAGTCACTGGGCTCCAGTCTATCTTGTTTCTTCCACAAAGTGCACAGTCTGTGGCATGTGGCACTTTCGCTGTGCTGCGCGGCCATCACCTCCTGTGCCCACTTCCACAGCATTTTGATTGCAGCCTGGAGAAGCCCAGCCCCCATTGCACACTGACTCCCACCCCCTCCTCCTCTCAGGCCTGAGAACCCCTCATCTCTGTGTTTCTTTTAAACCAGGACCCAGCACCTCTGAACCAGCAGCTTGGGGAGGTGCGAGCTGGGTCTGAGGCTGAGCAGAGAGCAGGGCTTTGGGATGAGGCAGCCACCCTGCACACCTCATCCATCAGCACGGTGTAGGCGGCTGATGGTGTTCATGGATGAGCCTTGCTTAGTGCAGCTGTGCAATGGGCTCATAATGTGTCCTCAGGGCAGGTCTCCCCTCTCCACACCAGGGCCATGGTTTCCCTTGGGAACCAGCAGTCGGCCCCCTGGCTTTGGGGTAGGTGACCTTGCTCAGACCTGGGGTGGGCATGGTCTCCTCTTGGGGCAAAGCGAGTGGGGGGAGTGGGGGCCTCATCCCCAGCAAGTCCAGCTGAGCTGGCCGGGGCCTGTGCTGCATGGGGCAGAGGGAGAGGCTGTGGGACGGGGCTGCCCCAGAAGAAGAGCTGAGGACTGACCTGCAGGTGGCCCCTCTGCCACTGAGAAGAGAGGGCCTCACCTGCCCCCAAGGACGACTTGGTGCCTCAATTTCTACCCAGGGTTTTGCTTCCAAAAGCCAATATGTTCCTTTTATTATTTTTTTATTCTCACCCAAAGATACTTTTCCCATTACTTTTCAGAGAAAGAATGGAAGAGAGGAGCGGGGGTCGGTGGGGAGAGAAACATTGATGTGAGAGAGGCACATGGATTGGTTGTTTCCTCAATGACCCTGACCAGGGCCAGGAGTGAACTGGCAACCTTGACCGGAAATTGAACGCGAGATCATGTGATGCCCGGGCCAATGTATAAACCACTGAGCAACACCAGCCATGGCTCCATTTGTAAAGACGGAACTTGTTCCAGTTTGAGAGGCTGGGAAAACAAGACCTTTGCACACGAACAGCAGGGAAGTTAAGTGAAATCTGTGGTTTTGGAAAGGCAGTTACAAGCTGTGACAGGGACAGCAGTTTACAGACTGAGGCTGTGGACACAGCATCCACCCAGCCTCTCCTGCCTCATCGCATGTAATCCATTGAGTTTTGTGGAAGATCTGAATGGGGAAAACAACAAAGAGAATCTTTCAGTCTCAAAATAAAAGCATCATTCAATGCAAGTTATTATTCCCAACCCCTGAAAGGCAACATGGTTCACGGCGGGTGAAGGAGAGGGAGAGGAAGCCCCATCGACGCACACCTGGGTCCTCATCAACACCCCAAGGATGGAGGACTCTCAATCCTGGAAGCTGCCCCCAACGAAATAGGGTCAGGGTGACCGGGTCTCAGGAAAGGAGGGAGGGAGGGTGGGTCAGACGGGACCGCCTGTGGCCAGCATCCTTGAGTCCTTTCCCATCTGGGGTCACCCCTAGGATGACAAGGTCAGGCATGCAGCCCAGGGTCCCAGCTGCACCCTTATATGCAGACTCCATGCAAATGGGGCTCTCCTCCTGCTCATAAAGAGGGCCCTGCCCGGCATGCTGGGGAGACACCCAGAAGCCACGTGCCTGAGACAGGACCCCAGTGGCTCCACCATAGACTTGGTGCCAAGCTGCATTTTCCTCCTGATCATTTTTCAAGATCATTTTCAGGATAGGGGAGCACTGAGACCTGTGCCTGTGCCTGTTTTGGCTTCCATGTGGTTCTAAGTCCAGCTTGTGTCTCTGTGTTTGCAGGTGTCCAGTGTGAGGTGCAGCTGATGGAGTCTGGGGGAAGCTTGGTTCTGCCTGGCGGGGTCTCTGAGAGTCTCTTGTGCAGCCTCTGGATTCACCTTCAGTAGCTACTGGATGAGCTGGGTCCACCAGGCTCCAGGGAAGTGGCTGGAGTGGGTCTCACTCATTACTGATTATGGTGGTAGCACATACTATGCCGATTCTGTAAAGGGCCAATTCACCATCTCCAGTGAGAATGCCAAGAACACGCTGTATCTGCAAATGAACAGCCTGACAGCTGAGGACATGGCTGTGTATTACTGTGCGAGAAAGACAGTGATGGGAAGTCAGTGTGAGCCCAGACACAACCTCCCTGAGGGAGGCAGCAGGGCTGGGCTGCAGGGGGCACTCAGGACACCAGGGGGCGCTCAGGGCCAGCAGGGGACACTCAGAACTACTGGACTGACTTAACTCAGGACTCACTAAACTCAAGAATGCAGCCCCAAAGGCATGTGCAGGGATTGGCCAAAGAGGGGTTTCCTTTACAAGTTTGTTTCCTCTTCATCATAAAAAAATAAAATAGCCCTGGTCGATTTGCTCAGTGGGTAGAGCATTGACCTGCAAACTGAAGGGTCCCAGGTTTGATTATGGTCAAGGGCATGTCCCTCTGTTGCAATGGCCTCCCCAGCTCGGGTCCTGGTCTGGGCTGTTGCAGGAAGCAACAAATCACGGGTTTCTGTCACATTGATGTTTCTCGCTGTCTTTCCGTCTCTCTTCCACTCTCTCTAAAATATCAATGGAGAAATATCCTCGAGTGAGGATTTAAAAATCTATATTAATAAAAAGCCCTTGGCTGTCATGCCATCACGACCAAAGGAGCCATGGCTCTCGCGGCGGGTGGGGCAGGGTGCGAGCTACAAGTGGTGAAGAGCTATAAGCTTTGGAGGGTTATAAGCGGTGGAAGGCTATAAGCGGCGGAAGGCTATGAGCAGCAGAGACCTAGGAGTGGTGGAGGGCAGGGCGAGAGCTACTAGCAGCGATGGTCAGGGCAGCCAGCTGAGGCAAGCAGAAGCAAGCTACTCATGCACAATTTCATGCACACTGGGCATCTAGTCTTACCGAATAATAGACAAACATGTAAATTAACCACCCCTCCACTACGCTCACCAGCCAATCAGGAGAGTATGCAAATTAACCCAACAATTTGCATATGTAGGGGAGAAGCAGCAGAGCAAAGCTCCATCCTGAGCAAAGGCCTGGGTCCCGGGTGCCAGAGGAAAACCGGTGCCGGCAGCCAGGGGAGGGGAAGGCCTATTGCACGAATCTCTTGGTGCAATAGGCCTCTAGTCCTATCTAATAATAGGCAAACATGGTAATTAACCATACCTCTGATACGCTTCCCATTGGCTAATCAGGGCGATATGCAAATTAACTGCCAACAAAGATGGCG